AGACAAAGCTAGGAGAATGAGAAAGGTTGAAGAAGAGGGGTGAGGAGGGCATGAGAGAGCAGGAAGGTTGAGTTGGTGGAAAAGTAGAGGAGAGCAAGATAAGAGATACCATAATAGAGGGAGCCATTATAGGTTTAATGAGAAATCACATACTAGGGAAATGTATGGAGATCTACAAGGATGACACCAACTAACAATCTAAGCAACAGAGGAGAGGCTACCTTAAATGCCCTCCCCAATAATGAGATTGATGACTATGTTAAATGCTATCCTATAGCCTTCATCCAGCATCTGATGGAAGTAGAATCAGACAGCAACAGCCAAACACTGAACCGAACTGAAATCCAGTTGCAGAGAAGGAGGAGTGATAAGCAAAGGGCTCAAGACCAGGCTGGTAAAACCCACAGTGCCTGAGATCTTAACTAAAGTGGGAAGACAAGAGAAAGAGACACACAGGAAGGGAGAAGTCAAAGTGTCCTTATATGCACATAACAGGAGCCCACACATAACAGACTCTAAAGACTCCACCAGAAGATTCTTAGAGCTCATAAACAACTTAGGGAAAGTGCTGGGGTACAAAACAACACAGAGAAATCAAGAGCTTTCCTAAAGCCAATGCCAAACAGACTGAGAAAGAAATCAAGGATAAAATATTAACCACAGCAGCTTCAAGAGCAACAAAATACCTTGGAACAAACCTAACCAAGAAAATGAATGATGGCCACAACTAAACATCAAGCCACTGACAAAAGAATTGAGGAAGATCCCAGAAGGAAGACCTCCCATGCACACAGATAGGAAAATATACTGTTTTGAAATTGGTAGTTCTACAAACAAACAAAACTTATCAATGTGATCTCCATTAAAATTCCATCTTCACACACATAGAAAAAACATGCTAAGATTATTATACTGAAGCATAAAAGACCCCTGAACTCCAAAGCAGATGTGAGCAAGAAATACTAATTCTGGAGACATCCTCATGCTATATTTTAAGACATACAACAGAGCCATACAATAGTATTAAAAACAGGACAGTGCTGGTACAGACATAGATGTGCATATCAATAGGACAGAATTGGCCACCAGGATATACTCACTTACACTGTAGTTCTATTTAGAGTCCCTGAGCAATTTCCACATGCTTTCAACAGCACCTGTACCTGTTTACACTTCCACCAACAGAGAGTAAGTGCCCCCTTCATCCTCATCCTCATCCTCATCCTCATCCTCATCCTCATCATTGTTTGTTGTCATTTGTTTTCACAATGATATTCATTCTGATTGGGGTGAAACAGACCTCAAATTGTTAATTGACAAATCCTCAGGATAAAAAATATTTATTAACCATTGGGGTTTTTTCTTTTCTCTCTCTCTCTCTCTCTCTCTCTCTCTCTCTCTCTCTCTCTCTCTCTCTCTCTCTCTCTGTGTGTGTGTGTGTGTGTGTGTGTGTGTGTGTTTCTTCTGTTGGAACTCTCTGTTGAGTTCCCTAGCCTATTTTTTATTGTATCATTTGCTTCCTTAATATATGGGTTCAGGTTTTTCTGTATTCTGGCTATTATGCCCCTGTCAAGTGTGTAGCTGGAGAAGATTTCCTGCCACCGCAGGTATCCAAAGCCCTCTGTCCCCTATTACAGAGATACCCTACCCATCTGTGTTCACTGCTGCTCTAGTCATACACAAGAAAAGGAAAGAGCCTCATGTTCAGGGTAAGATGGCACTGGTGATGAACACAATGGAAATGTGTAATAAATATATAATAAATCAATGTGAGGAAGGAACCGACCACCACATAATTTAGACAATTAAGCTTATATAAATCCTTTAGTTTTGGCCATTGACTGAGAGTGGGCTCATGCCTCAAAGCCTCCTGGTGCAGAAGGTCAGAGGTATAGCCATTTCCAGGTGAAACCTACAATTTCACTGATATTGGATGATGAGAAGAGTGACCTTGCACCATTTGTTTTGACAGAACATAGTTATTTCAGGCACAACATGACAAGTACTTTTGACTTAAACCTTCTTTGGATACTTTAAGTTCATATATCACTAATTATTTTGGTTAATTCAACTGGACCAGGGTGGTCAGGCAAATCCCAAATGTGTTTCCAAGGCAGACATCACTGCTGTGGGGCAGAGGGCTGAGAAGTGTCTGAGCTGACCAAAATGGAGTCAGGTAAGATGGCTTTGCCTTAGTCGCTTCAGTATATGTATGTGGTAGAATTTCATTCAGTTGTAAATACAATGAAAGTTGTAGGAGAATGGATACCATAGTAGAGGGAGCCATTATAGGTTTAATGAGAATTCTGGCACTAGGGAAATGTCTGGAGATCTACAAATTTGACTAAGCAATAGTCCAGAGGCTACCTTAAATTCCCTTCTCTGATAATGAGATTGATGACTCCCTTATACGCTATCCTATAGCCTTCATCCAGTAGCTGATGGAATCAGCTGAACTCTGGAATCCAGTTGCAGAGAGGGAGGAGTGATGAGCAAAGGGGCCAAGACCAGGCTAGAGAAACCCACAGAAACAGCTGACCTGAACCAGGGGTTGCTCATAGAACCCAGACTGATATCTGGGAAACTAGCATAGGACTGTTCCAGACCTCCTGGCTGAGGAGGTCAATTTGGAGATCCAAGCAATCTATGGGGCCACTGATAGTGGATCAATATTTACCCCTAGTACACAAATGGACTTTGGGAGCCCACGCCACATAGAGGGATACTCCCTCAGCCTGGACACACGGAGGAGGGCCTAGGCCATGCTCCAAATGATGTGACAAACTTTGAAGATCCCCATGGAAGGCCTCACCCTCCCCGGGGAGCAGAAAGGGGTTGCTATAGTGGATCCCTGGGGGAACGATGAGGAGGGGAGGGAGAGGGAACTGGAATTGACATGTTAAAGAATCTTGTTTCTAATTTTTAATCAAGAGAAAAAACACAAAGAAAGAAAAATAGAATTCCACAACATAAAAGGGGGGGGCGTGTGGAAATCTATAATTTATTTAAGTCAATTAAACAAAAAATAATCTGAAAAGACAAGTTTGAAGGGTGGTTCTCTGTGAGAGGATAATGCCGCTCCCAGGGTCATGGGTTGTTAATACAAAAATCATGGCAGAGATGTGGGACACCTCCTGATGAGCTGTTGGTCCCGGAGACTCCAGGAGCCAAGGAAGGGTTTGGCAGGTGTCCAGACCCACTTGGGTTCAGAGCAAGGCTAGGAAAGGGTTAAGGGGGGAAGAGAAGGTTGATAACATAGTTATCAAATCCTCACATTTGGGGAAGTAACTCAGTGCATACCTGGGGCAGGCCTGATCCTGGGTGAGGTTGCCAGCACTTCTCATTTATAAGAGCGAAAACTAAATAGAAATAGACCACAAATGACAGCAGTAAGAATACAGTGACCTTGGAATGGATGACCAAGGTAGAGCTTGAGGGAAGCCCTGTGGTTCCTGTCTTCCCTTAGTGTCTCACTGCTGCTCTCTCCCCTCCCGCTGCCCCTCCCCGACTTCTGTCCTTTTCCATTAATTCTCTCTCTTCTCTTTTCTTTCTGCTCTTTTGTTGTTTTGTTTCTAGGTAGAGGCCAGAAGCATTTCACCGTGTAGCCCAGGCTCTCAGGAACCTCTATGTAGTGCAGACTGTCTTCAACCTTGGGCCTCAGGCTATGTATGAGTCATGAGATTATAGGTGTGTACTATGCCTCATCCTGAGATTATAGGTACGTACCCTGATTCCTAATCCTGAGATTGTAGGTGTGTAGTTCTGAAGTATACCACATGTTTTATATAAAAATCCAAGTTTCACAAATACAACTGTGTCACTATGTAAATACGCAGCAAGCTGTCTAGGCAGCTCTTCCATCATTTTGTATGTGTGTGCGTGTGTGGCTGTAGATGGGTGTGCACACCTGTGCACTCAACACTGGTGTGACCCCACTCTCACACTGAACCCCACAGATGAACCAGGCTTTCTGATTATCAACAATAGGGTCAGAAAGCCCAGGGGTCCCCTGCCTCCCCCTCCCACACTACCAGGCTCTTTACCTGGTGCTGGGGATCTGAACTCAGGTCCTCAAGCTCACAGAGTGGGATCACTGCCCAGCCTGTACTTTCTCTATGTCTATTGTACTCCAATAAAAGTTAATGTCACCAAAATCTTTTACAATTTTTACTCTTTGAGAGTTTTGATAACTTCATACGTAGAATGAATTTAATCATAGGCAGCCTCACTCACCCTCCACTGCTACAGCGGATGTCCCCAAAGTCCCCCCCAACAACTTCCTCCTCCCTGTCCTCTCTTTCCTCCCTCTTTCCCTCCCTCTCTACTCATTCCCTCTCCTTTTCTTCGATAACCCCCTGAGTCCACTCAGTGTTGCCCCTGTGCACACGAGAGTAGGACAATCCCATGGACAGTCAACATACCAAGGCCACACTCCTGAAGAAAACTGACTTGCCCTCTCCTGGCAGTGTCAGCGTCTACAGCTCCTCAGCTGGAGCGGGGAGGGCCAGTGTGACCCTCCCCAGTCAAAGCTAGAGTGATACAGAGACATTAGAGTAGGAACCTGACTTACTTTTCAACATTTAACTTTGTGGTCTATGAAGAGTCCTATACTGCACACCTTGCCCCACCTGAACTCAGTTAACATTCTACACTTAGTTCCCCCGCCACTTCTTATTTTCTAGGGACAGAGTTCAATATTTATCTCAGGCACCCAAACCCCAAATCCTCCTGCCTCAGCCTCTAGGTTATAGGGATCACAGTGGTGAAGAGTGAATTGTTTCACAATTGGTCTCTTTGGATATAAAAATTAACTATAAATCAATTTATATTAACTTGGGTGCTTAACAAGTCATAATCAGTGTTGGTCCTTTTCTGTGTCAAGGACAGATTCACATCCTGTTTCTCTCTGACTGTTAACGTCCCCACTCCCCGCCTCCCCTGAAACCGTTACTTTCATTTTGTCTCTTCTGTATGCTGGGTGGTGGCTTGTCCTCCTCCAGGAGCTGCAACTCTCCTCCCATCCTGTGCACAAGCTCATTGGGCCCCTGCATCTGACCCTGGTGAGTGTGGGTAGACAGGGCTGGGAAATCCTTTGTAGCTTCATTTGCAAGAGTGAAATGCAAACTGCTGGTCATGTCATCTGTCTGTAGAGGGAGAGTATGGTGTTTGGGGTGGGTTGAAGATGTCCAACCACTGATCTCCAAATGTGTGAAGGTAAATAAAGTTATGTTAGGTGGATAAAAGTTTTCTCAAGCAGCGAAAAAGAAATTTGTTACCACTGGTATTTTAAGGGATCTGAACAATTCATTATTTTTCTTTATCTCATGATTTAAAATTTCCCCCAAAGTCTCTAGTTTGCTATACAGATAGTCACCAACTTTTTACAACTCTTACTCAGATAATGGGGAAAGAGTTTGAACAGTCAGAGAAATTAAAGGCCAGAGCGACTACATTGTAAGCCTTTCAGTGGGTTGTGTGTCTACAATGCTAGCTTCTTTTCTTTTCCTGTGCAATACTAGAAATGTAAAGGCTCCTCTAGTTTTATAAACAGGGAAAGTTTAATAGTAACACATATTTATGAAGCACCATGTGTCCAGGCCTGGTCATTTGCACGGAAGAGCCATTCTTATGGAATTGGCATCTACCTCTCCAATATTGCAGTCTCTTCAATCAATGTGCATTGAAATGCACACAGGCAGAACCTATTCCTGTACTTAACGGTGGCTAGGTGTCTGTAAAGCATTTGAAAGGGGGATAAATATGGTAAGTGAAAAATAAAATACAAACTAGGATGGAGAATTATTGTGAGAAAGAACATCAGAATAAACAAGGCACATTTAGAAGCCCTCGATGCTGAGCTGAGTTACATTTTCTGTGATTTATTCATTTTTATTTGATGCATATGAGTGTCTTGCTTGCATGTGTGTAAGTGCACTGCTTGCATACCTGGTACCCTTGGAGGACAGAGAGGGCACTGGATCCCCTGGAACTGGAGCTGCAGACAATGGCTGCTGGGAATGGAAGCCAGGTCCTCTGCAGGAGTGGTGTGTGCTCCTAACTGCTGAGCCATCTCTCTTGCCCCTTAAGTTGCATTCTTGTGACCCCATGGAGAAGGGGTGGATCCCTTACACAGCTCAGGAACAAGAAGGAGAAACATAGCTGCTTTTCAGAGAAGCTTCTCCTGGCCTTTGCCTGTGAAGGAACATCTCATGTGTGTGTTACTATGGGATGGTGAGGAGACTCAAAGGAAGGCTGTGCCTACAACCATCCCATAATGCCAGCAGCAGTGCCTATGCTAAGGTAACCTGTAGTTATCATTTCCTTCCCTGATTCTTACAGACACTCTTGATGAACAGGTCTTACTTAAAGATAAACCAAGATATTGTATGGGTTATGTGAATTTCGTGCTTTTTAAGTATTTGGTAAATACTTACCTTATAGCCACATTGCATAATATATGGGAGTACCACATGACATCTTAGTGCATTTGAACACAGTATGATCAGGTTGGGAGCTTTCCTGACACCCCAGACATTCTGTTGACTATTATTGATTTAAGTTTGATTTTTATTTGAAAACTGCATGAAGTAGAAAGTTTCAGAATCAGCTGCTTGAGGAAAATAATTAGGATTAAGATGGATTATGAAAATTAAAGAACTGGAAAGCCTACCTTGCATATGCACACACATACAAGCGTCATTGATATGTAGTAAATTAAAACTTCTTCTCCAAGAAGATTATTGCCCAGGTCACTTCAGGGTGTGAAAAAAAATGAATAGTGTAGATGGCTTTTCTCTTCAGGAAGGCCATTATTTTTGTATAGTTAGCATTATACACCTCACCCCTACAATACACAGTTCTGTGGCTGTGGGTACATTCTGAGGTATGCAATCGTGTTACCATAACCTACCCTGCTTATTTAAGTCCACAGAGCGTTCACTCAGCTGCTCTTGGTCTTTTCAGTGTGTGTTTGTATGTATGTGTGTGTGTGGACGTGTGTGTGCCTGTGTGATCATGTGTGTGTGCATGTATGTGTGTGTGCATGTATTCATGTGTGCATGTGTCTGTGTGTTTGTGCGTGTGTGTTACACTGTGTGTGGCAATCACAGGATTAAATTTGAAAGTCAGTTCTGTTCTTCCAACCTGCTAAGACAATCTCTCCTGGACTTTCTGCCATTCTGGGTACTCCAGGTGAGCTGCCCTTTAGCTTCTGGGTAATTCCCCTGTGCTGGGATTTCAAAGGCCTGTGGCTGTATTCGCCTTTTTGTGGTGTTCTTGATTTGAACTCAGACCGACAGTCTTGTGGAGCCAGCTTGTTAACCTGCAGAGACACCTTGCTGGGCCCTGGACAGTTTTCAGAACCTTTTTAGTTGGTATGTGGTTCAGAGAACCAAATCCAGAGAGTTCTATATGTTAGGCAAGTGCTTTGTCAGCCTGGTAGGATTTTAAACATAGAAGCAGTTCATCCGCTAATAGGGTAATTTGACTTTTTCCTTTCCTGATCTCTCTCTCTCTCTCTCTCTCTCTCTCTCTCTCTCTCTCTCTCTCTCTCCCTCTCTCTCGACTCTTTCTCTCTTTCTGTCTCTCTGGATTCTATTTATATTTCCCTGAGGATTCAAGCACTGTATTAAATAATACAGTTGAGGAATGGTCATCCTTGGCTCTATCCTGTATTTAGATGAACTAATTTGAGTTATTCCCTATTCAGTATAATGCTGTTGGTAGGATTAGCATAGTAGCCTTAATTTTGTGCAGGTGTGAACTTACTCTTCCTGGTTCGTTTAGGGCTGTAATCAAGGATGAATTTAGTTTTTCAAAGACTCCATCTATTGAGATTATGACCTGATAGGATACAAGAAATTAGCATTCTATTTGTTAAAACTGCTTTACAGCTTAAGGTGTGATTTCTTTTGGCAAAAGACCCATGAGCTGCTGAGGAGGATGTGACATCATTGTTTGTATAGAATATTCTGTAGAAGTCTTCTGGGTCCATTTGATCTACAGCACAGTTAACTCTGAAGTTTGTTGACTTGTGCGTGCCTGGAGATTGTATGGATGGGAGTTGAGTATTAAATTCAACCTATGTGCTTTGGCAGCATACATACTAAACCTGGAATGACACAGAGAATCTTAGCATGGTCCTTGTGCAAGGATGGCACACAAATGGTGAATTATTCGTATTTTCAGGGTACAATTAATCTGATAGGAGAAAAGGTTTCTCCTTAGGAAGGGGGGAGGGAGGTAAACACAGGGGAAGGAGAGATGAATGTAAAATAACAATATGGGTGGATGAAACAGTCCCAAGGAATCACACTATTAACTATTTCCCTAAAAACATTAAAAGCTATAATGCCTACAATTAAGTGTATACATACATAGTTTTGAAGAACCTTTCTCATCTAGGCTGATGGAGCTCCCAAAGACCCCCTCACAAAAACAAAAACAAATATTTGACATGAGAAGCCCTCTTTTGAGTTGTTGACCAGATCTGTCTAAGACACTCCTGAGACACATATTCTCTTGCTATTTCCCTTAGTTATCCCCCCAGAGGTAGAAGGTATTTTCATATTGTTGAAAACACCATGCTCTTCAGACACAGGACCTGGAGGTCCCTGAGCTCTAACTGACTTGGATGCTCCCCCTTCCCGACCTACCCTGCCCTGAGGACTGTCTTTCATGGAACTAGAAGGCACAATGAAAGCTTGCAAAGGAGAGAGGCAACAACAGCCCTACCTAGCAATGACACTCATGAACCAAATCAATGATAACCTGTACATTGGCCCTGTGTGTGTAGGAGTGGCACAGAAGCCTTGGCAGTGACTGTGGTGGTTTGAAAGAAAAGGGCCCCTCCAAGGAATTGGCACTAGTGAGAGGTATGGCAATGTTGGAGTAGGTGTGGTCTTGTTGGAGGAAGGGCATCACTATGAAGGTGGGCTTTGTGGCCTCATATATGGGTGAGACAGACTACTTCCTGTTTGTTGTTTGATGGAGATATAGCACTCTCAGCTACTTCTCCAGCATAATGTGTGCCTGCATGCCACCATGTCCCACCGTGATGATAATGGCCTAAAACTCTCAACTGTAGGTGAGCCACCCAATTAAACGGTTTCCTTATTAAGAGTTGTCATGGTCATGGTGTCTCTTCACAGTAACAGAAACCCTAACTAAGGCAGTGACCAACTGCATGAGGCAGTTTCAGAAACCAAAGAATCTGCTAGCACCTACTCTGAACTCTCAGGCTCAGCAGTCATCCATCCACAGGAGCCATGTCATTCCTGGTTACAGCAGGCAGGACTGCCTGTCCTCAGGCCTCCACAGCCTGAGCTAAGAATGTCACTCCCACCTCCACTACCATCCCTCATGGCTGCCTACCAACCGGTGCATCCCAGGGCACCATGACACATGCTTGATTATGTTGGATCCCCACCACAGCTCAAACTCAGAGATTAGAGCTCCTGGTTCTAGCGCTGTGAGAGATGGAGTGTGTAGAGCTCACACTGTGCCCACCTGTGTTCCTTGTATTATATAGGACAGTAGTTTTCAGAGTTGCCTTGCCCTGAGTGACTCCATTTCATATGACAGTGGTTTGCTTCATTTGAAAAGCAAATGCTGAGGCAAAATGACTCTGTGCCTTATGTGGGCAAGTGCCCAATACAGAGAATAAACATAGGTTAATAAATAACTTATTAATACAAATAAATTATTTCTACCTGTAAACATATCAAGCCAGGAACACCTAGACCCATGGATCATTGAAGACCTTGTCCAAGAAAACAATCTCATGTGTCCAAAACACCAGAGCAATGAGTGATGCCATATCCTCACTTGGATCATACTCTGAGCCATCATCAGGCCACCTGATATATGCATCACTACATACAAGGCAGCAAGCTCTCAGCTCTGTCCCCAAGACTTCTGCTTACCATTGTTAAGAGCATTCTTCCAGCCAACCTGATCCCAGAGCCTCGTCAGACCCAAATGAACACACGGATGCTATTTTAGTTATGAAACTGTTGGCTGTTGGCTTGTTCTTATTGGCTAGCTTTGTCTTAATTATTAACTCATCTCTATTAATCTAAGTATTTCCACATGGTCTTATCTTACAGAAGAGACGCCTCACTCACATCCTCTCTTCCCCTGGGCTCACATGATGACTCCTGTCTGCCTAGACTTTCCAGAATCCTCCTTGTCTCCTAGTCCGACCTATCATCCTGCCTCAGTGCTTTATTCATCAACAACTAAGAGAAACATATGTACAGAAAACATCCCCATCATACCCTGATCAGCCTAAATAGAAGTGGCTCACTTGAGCTTGCATTTGTTCACACCATTTATGCCTGGAGTCAGCTCTGTGCTTTGAAGCAATCTGCCCCTTGAACCATCTGTATATCTTGAACTGACACCAAGCCTTGAACCAACTGTGTATTTTGACCAGCCTGTTCCAGAAGAGCTCTTTTCATGTGCATATGCTATGTGATTTTGCACACACACACACACACACACACACACACACACACACACACACACAAATACGAGATGTGGTAGTGGTGGTCATATATTCTACCTCTGAACTTACATACTATCATAATATGTTTTCGAAGTAAGAGAAATCTGACCCTTGTCTGTCCTCTTTATCCTTTATGAATTATGAATACCAACATTTATACTCTACTCAATTGGCTCATTTGTTTCTTAGGAATTCAGTATGTAAGGGGAATGTATGTACTCGGTTGTGTGTGCTTCTCATTGTTTCCTTAGGTAATCACAGCAATATGTAGTGTTCACATGGAAAGAATCTGCCTGTGGCTGCACAGTTTAATGCGATCTGTATGTGTAATGTGTTTTGTCATAACATTGTTGGTGTGGACCACCAACTCAATATTGCTGTTCCTTCTACAGGAAGGAAGAACCTCTCGAGATGTCTTCTAATAATGACCCAGTTGCAATCCCAATGATAGAAAGAAATCTCAATGACCTTCCTGGAATGGACACCAGTGGCCCGAAGACATTGACTGGAGAGGCTGTGTTGAGTTTTCATAACATCAGCTATCGAGAAACAGTGCAGAGTGGCTTTCCATTTCGTAAAAAAACATGGGTGATAGAAAGACTATCAAATATCAGGTATGTGCATGAACTAAAAAGAACACTGTATGAACAACTTTTTCAACAACCGTTGACTTATTATAGAAAAGCTGTGTGTGTATGTGTGTGTGCGTGTGTGTGTCTGTATGTGTTACTGTGTGCATATGTGCATTTAATTGTATGTGTGCATGTTCACATGTGCAGATGTGTGGATGCATCGACACACCACGGTACAAGGCCATAAGAGGACAACCTTGAGCTACCCTGCAGCAGACGAAGTGTCTCATTGTCTGCTGAGGTGTATGCCAGGTTAGCAGCCTGCAAGAGTCCTGGGATTCTCCTGTCTCTGTCTCCCATCTCTCTCTAGAGCATGGAGTTGCAGGTACCCACGACTGTACCCAACTTTATGTGAATTCTGGATGTTTAACTTAGGTCTTCACCCTTGAACAGCAAGTGCTTCACCCATTGAACATTCCTCAGCCTCATCTTCGAGTCCATACAGATAGGCTCATGATCACATAATGAGATGGAGACTAAAAGAACGTAATGGATTAATGACACAGAAAGTTTGTTCTTTGAAAATATAAACAAGCTTGATAAATCCTTAGACAAATTACCAAAACAAACAAAAAAACAAAACAAACAAAAACTCAATTCTGCATAATGGCTGCAATTCAATAAAATTAAGGCTGAAAAAGTAATACAAAAGGCACACTGTTAAAAATCAAGTGATATGAGGGAATATTGCACTACAAATTTGAAAATCTAAAAGAATTGTGTACACATCTGTATACACATCCCCTCTCAAAACTGACCTGTAGGATACAAGAGATGAGATGGAAGCAATGAAGAAGCCCCAACAGCAGAATGTCTGGGTCCTCATTTTTTGCTCAAAATTCATCAAGAGCTACAAAGAGCTAAAACCAATAATCTTCACATTGTTCCATGACATAGAGAAGCCATGCTTTCAACCAGATCCCAGGACAGAGCACACAGAGCAAGATCTCCCCTACAGTCGGCATAGATTCTTCCTCCTAAACCCAACCATTGCCTCTGTTCTTGGGCACTGGTGTTTCTGCTCCTCCACCTACAACCTCCATCACTTTCTTACAAAGAGGGGAATGGGCAGGGCAAAGGGTTGACACATTGTCTGGATATGAAGTAACAAATGGGAACAAAACTAAGTTTTCTATAAGAAATGCCTTTTTTCAATCTGGATATTAACTACTCTGAATCAGTTTTCTGACATAACTTGTATTTGTGCTGTACCTATTCATCAATGAAGAATGTCCTCTCCAGGAGGACATTCTTCCAACTCTAAACTGAGAATATTCTAATCTCTTTATCGGGGAAGGAAATTATCCTTTGTGTGTGTGTTTATTTAGCTTTTCTATTTTGATTCAGAGGATTTTGTTTTGAGTGTTAAACTTGGTAATGCTCTCCTGTCTCTGGAGCACTTCTTTCTAGTGTTTGGATTTCTACATAAGATGCATTGATTTTGATTTGATTCTATGTTAATAGTAAGGACACATCTACTGATAATCCCATGACTCATTGGTTTCATGTGATGAGGTTTACCAGGCTGCATGCGGGACTATATAAAGATGCTGGTCATCAAACATTAGCAAGAAGCTGTTACATTCTTGACACATACAGGCTGTATGAATGTGTAATTGGAGTCTTCATGGCAACCTGCTACTTGCTTCAAGGACCCTGAACTCAGATGCACCATATTTCAAAAAAGACAAGTCATTTAAATAATAAATTGCATGGCTTTGTTATATCTGAGCCATTTTTCTGATGAGTCCCCACTAGCAATTGATATCTTTTATAAATAATAGACCTCTATTGATATTTTATTTTTCTGTGAGTATTTGCTTATTTTCTGTGTAAAATTTCATTCAACTTCAACAGCATATTCAGTGTAGACACTAAGATAATATAACATTTTTTAAATAGAGAAATCACTCAGTAATGAGGTTTACAAAGTGGAGTCAGAACTAGATTGATAACAGGTAGTTTATTAAAGGATAGTACTCACTCAAGGGAGCCAGTGACCAGGTTTGCACCAGAGCAGGAGCGACCCACCAGATACTTCCTAGTCTACTCAACCAGGTGGAGGAGAGAAAAATGCCCTCGTGGGTGCCTCCCCACTACTTTAAACCCTTGATACATCACTCTGACCATGCCCAAGTGGGCAGGGTCATCGGTACCTGTGGCCAGGCCCAAGCAGGCATGGTCAGCCGTTCCTCTAAACAGGATTTCTACCTACAACCCAGTTTGATTTTGTGTCTGCAGTGGGATCATGAAACCTGGCCTCAATGCCATCATGGGACCTCAGGACGGGAGCAGATCTTTGTGAGTATAAGGGAAAGCATGTGCATGCCCTTTGCATCCAGTTTCCCTGCTGTAAACAACTCTACAGGAATTGTCTAAGTACTGTGTGAGTGTCTATGTGTGAATCTGTCTATGTGCTGTGGATAATGTGCAGGAGGGAGCATTCTCATTTTCTACCACCACCAGAAGTCTTACTAGGTCACTTTCCTGATGGAAAATGATAGAGTGATTGCCATACAGTGTTGGGTAATATTAGTATTTAATGTGGGGAGATAGTATTAAAATTAGAAAGATGAAGGAGAAGTTTCTGAGGACAAGAAAGCATCACCAGGCCCAATTCTTAAAATAGAGCAGGACATTACCTGTGTTAGTCCCCAAGGTCAGATGGCAGGGAGGGGCTGGGCGGTCATGTGGATCATGTCTTGCATCCATAATTCTGGGCTGAATTAGAGCACATACGGAAAAGAAAGGAGTCTGTGTGTGTGCACGCGCATGTGATTTCAGATAAACTTTTGACTTGTTTACCACTTAATTTTATGTCTTACTTTATGCAGAATTTTTATCCTGAATATGTAAAAGATTATAGCTGTTACTGAAGGGAGAAACTAAACTACACAACATACATAACCCTCTCTAGGTTATTAGATGTCTTAGCTGCAAGGAAAGATCCACGTGGATTATCAGGAGATATTCTGATAAATGGAAAACCTCGACCTGCTAATTTCCAGTGTACTTCTGGTTATGTCCCACAAGTAAGTGTTGGTGGGTTTGTAATTTTAGATTCCCTCTGCCTCTGTACGATTAGATGCTCAACTTGTAGATTTGTGTGTTTCCAGTTCATTATATGACACAGTTATAGGCCCAACTTTCTATACACGAGCTTTTTCTAATGACTCATTAGCCTGAGACTGGCATTATTAAATAGGAAGATGGTGATGCGTTGGTGTATGACATCTGTGAATCAGTATTAGTAATTGCAGCTGTGATTTAATTCTATGAAAGACTGCTGTTGTCCAACCTTGCCCTTCCTCTATCTTTCTCTACTGCAAATAATTGCAGGCAGCAGTTACCAAAATCCCTGAGCTCTACATGGAAGGCAAATGGGAGGGGAGTGAAAATGATTGCATCAGGCTCTGTATTTGAAATTAGTAACATTGAAAGCTTATTTTTCAATAGAGCATTAGAAAGAATATTGTTTATATGAAGATTAGGTTACATTTGTTAGAATGATTGTCTTGGTTATAACCGTATTTAATTAAAATTCCATTTAACCTTAAGAATGACATGGTGATGCGCACAGTGACTGTTAGAGAGAATGTAGAGTTCTCAGCAGCTCTTCGAATTCCAACATATGTAACAAGACATGAAAAAAGAAATCGAATTAGTGAGGTCCTTGAACTTCTGCATCTGGATGGGGAGTCAAATGTCAAGGTAACGTGAAGAAAAATCTTGAAAGACTCAGAACAAAATAACTATCCTTGTGTGGATGATATGTTTCCTATAATATGTGTGGTCAAGGTGGCTGGTCACATGATATAAAGAGAAAATTAAGCTGGGAAGCCATCTTAGCAATGGTTAATCCTGGGAATGGAATGTGATTCAGTAGGGAAAAGTGTTCCTTACATGACCATTTCCGTGTGTGTCTCACATGACCATCTCTGTGTGTGCCTCACATGACCATCTCTGTGTGTTCCTTCCATGGCCTTTTCCATGTGTTCCTCACATGAACATCTTCTTCCTTCAGCCTGAAACTCTTCACTCTCTAGAGAATTCGACAAGGGCTTTCTTCTATCTATTGTCTCTTCCCCTACAAGACTTGCTCCTTTGTTGTTTGATTGTATCTGGACTGACATAGGATGAGAAATGGGGGACTCTGGCTCTGTGATTCACTCAGGGTTGATTTCCCTTCAGGGTTGTACTTGGCCTCTTCAGCATTTACTTTTACTTGGTTTGTGCCTGTTATTTCCAGTAGCCTTTCATTCGGTGTTTTTATCCTATCCTGTCTGTGGTGACTAATTTTAACTGTCAAGTCGACACAGTCTAGAGTCACATGGAATCATCTAGCAGAGTCTCTATGAGGAATTGTAGTCAGGGTGCCTTGAGGGCATCTCGGTGTGTGAGATGTAGAAAGTGATGCAAAAAGACCCAGCCCATCATAGGCCGAACCATTCTTTGGGCTTGGGTCCTGATTAGCATGAGGATGGAGAAAGTGGATTGAGCACTGACAGGCATGAATGCATTCATCCTCTCTGTGCTCTTGACTGGAGGTAACCAGCTCTATATTCTTCCTGCCTTGGCTTTCCTGTAATGGGGGAACTATACTTTTGAGCTGTGTAGAAATAAGATCTTTTCCTCATTGTGTGTGGTATATTACTTATGATTTATTAACACTTGCCTGAGAATTCAGATAGCAAAGTCATCCAAAAGCCATGGAATCCAGGCATAGACTTTAAATCCCAGGATTTTGGATTAAGAAGTAGACAGATCTATGTTAGTTCAAGGCTTCACTGAGGTACAAGAAATAATCCAGTCCTAAAGAGAAACAGCTCATGCAATGATGATCTCAGCACCTGGGATCACAAGCCTTTCATCCCAGGACTCATGAGATGTATTTTAGACAGGAACAGGGTCTCAGAGAGAGCATTCATTCTCCACCCACATTGAGGATAGGAAGACATTGAAGTCTCAGGATTCTCCATCCATGCTGAGGAGAGGCAGCAGTCTGAGGTTTGGTGGAGCCAGGATGGCCTTTCAGTGTGAGGTAGAGGTAAGAGCTAGTTACTGGTAGCTGGCTGCTTTGCTTTTGTCATCTTCACCTTGAAGCCTGAGCCCCAATGTCAGTCTCTGGATCATTTATTTATCATGCTACATCCTTGTTTACCTTTGATCTAAGCAACTGGCCAGAAACTAGGATATGTTTTTTGTCCTCATTCCCTGCTTCCTTATCTTTTGTCAATATCTATTCTCAGACCCTGTGTGAGGTTTTGTAGAGACAACCTTGTGCAAGGGTAACAATGCATGGACCAAGAGATGCCTCCTGTTGAGACTTTACAGGATCAGTAAAAGTAATAATAGCTAAGTTATTTCTTACTGACATATTTCAAAAGAATATTGTATAGTACTTCATCCCTGAATACTTAGTTTTTATCCATTAAAAACAAGGATATTTGTTTATCTTAACAATTCCACTTAACAATTCCAACATGTTCTTGATATTGTCAGCCCTGTCAGGCTATAACCATTCACATTCCCCTAATGTTCTTATTATTACGTTGTTTATAGAACTTGATAGGCACTGTATTTGTTATATGCTTCAAGATTATAATATCAAGATTGCTTCCCTCTTCTTGTGTCACCAGAATCATCCTGCCTGTCACATGACAGCCCATTTAGAAGGTTCTATATAGATGTCTGCTGAGCAGACAAGTGGGGTACAGATGAAAATGGCATTCCCAGACTAGGATTCTCATGACTCCTGTGCTGGGTCCTCCTTAGAGTCAGTGAGCAATAGGAAGATACTGTCTCTTGACTCCCATGATACTTCTCCGCAGTCATTTATGAGATGTTTGTCTTGTTGGGAAGAACAATAGAAAAGCTGAGAATCACCACATTTTCTTTTTTTCACCAGTGATGGAATTTTGTGTGCTTTGGCTCTGTTTATTAATGTTGTTTTATATTCATAGTAAGATACTTTTTTTCTATGTTTAAGAATAACCAGCCCTTGTCCTAAAGTGCTTATTGGTTTTTAATGGACAACAGAGAGAGGTATTTATTAACCATTTAGAGTCATGAAATGTAATAAATTGCAAGAATTTTAATATAACTTTTAAATGATAAATTTCAAAAAACAAAGACTCTCTCTCTCTTTCTCTCTCTCTCTCTCTCTCTCTCTCTCTCTCTGTGTGTGTGTGTGTGTGTTTGTGTGTGTGTGTGTGTGTGTGTGTGTGTGTGTTGGGAGGTTGTTAAATGACCTCTAATTTACTAGAGATACTTCATCTTCTCCTGTCCCATCTATCTCGATTCTTAAGCATGATTCCACTGTGCCAGTCTGGGACTTTGATAACTCATTGTCCTAGAATATGTGACTTGATAAAGAACAAACAGCACCTGTCATTAGTGTGGACTTCATGTCAAATCTGACCTGAGCCTCTTTCTACTCCTTTTGGAAAAGAGGAACGCCTTCGTCTTCTCCCAGATGCCCACCCATACCCTGCTCCTCAGGATAATGATATAACAAAGCTTTTTTATTGCTGGGACCAGCTAGTTCACCAAATGATGGTGACTGTGGTTGTCCTCATTGATAATGATGGTGTTTGGTGCTTTAGCCTAGATCTAAGGAGCTCAGGAAGAGGACCAGCATAGCAATGGAGCTGGTCGCCGAGCATCCCATTTTGTTCTTGGATGATCCCACCATGGACTTAGACTTGAGAACTACTACTGATGTCATCTCAGTCCTGAGAAGGTAAGTGCCCAAGGAACATTAGTTTCATTCACTCAATACCTGGTCACTTGTGTGCATTTTGGTTCAGGAGATTCAGAAGTAAGCAACCGAATTCCTCCTTGTTTATTAGAGGGAAACTTCCATTAACAAGGAATATACATCAAGAACCATGAAACAAGAGCATAGGGAAAGATGGCTGTGGCAAAGTGGAGTACTGCTTTGGTGGAGCACTACTTTTTTTTTTATTCTTTTATTAGTTCAAATTAGGAACAAGTTTGCTTCACATGTCAATCCTTTCTCCCTCTCCCTCCCCTCCCCCCAACATCCCACCTGCCGATAGCCATGCCCCCTCCACTCCCCAGGCAGGGTAAGGCCCTCAAAAGGGGCTCCCCAAAGTCTACCACATCATCCTGGGCCAGGCCTAGGCCCTTCCCCATGTGTCCAGGCCAAGAGAGCATCCCTTCACAAGGGATAGGCTCTCAAAATCCCTTCTTTTATTTTTTAAGACCTTACATATTTAATACAGTGCGTTACCTTTGTACACATGGAAAAAAAATTAAGTTCAACATTTCTAGACCATTATGGCTGTTAATTTTTGTACAATGGCAAATCAACAAGGTAAACTGGGATACTTTTTTCCAAAGTTGACATCACACTTAAAGTTTCCAAAAATTCAAATTATATATATATATATATATATATATATATATATATATTTATATAAAAAGACCAATAATGGCAGTATGTTATGCATCAATAGCAACAATGGCTTTTCCAGGTTCTGCAGTCATTTGAACAAAATTGTAGAGACATCCAGCACTCTCCATTAAAAACAAAACAAAACAAAAAAGTAAAAAACAAAATCCCAGAAAACAGCACCTGGCACCATTTTATTTTTTAAATTAGCTACGGCCATACCACCCTGAAGGTGCCCCATCTCGTCTGAAGCTCTTTACTTATGCAGTTCTCATCTTAATGTTTCAATTTCTCCTTCCAGATAATTCAAGCTCCATTTACAAAACTCCCATGAATCCTGGTTTTACAGTCTGTTAAGGGGCATTTAGGCTGCTTCCAGTTTCTTGCTATTACAAATAGTGCTGCTATGAACATGGTTAAACAGATGTCCCTGTTATATGAATGTGCTTCTTTTGGGTATATGCCTAGGAGTGGAATTGATGGATCTTATGGTAGACTCATTCCCATTTTCTTGAGGAATTGCCATACTGATTTCCAAAGTACAAGTTGGCACGCCCACCAGCAGTGGAGGAGTGTTCCTCTTCCTCCGCATCTTTTCCAGCATAAACTGTCATTGGTTTTTTTGATTTTAGCCATTCTGACAGGAGTAAGATGGTATTTCAGAGTTGTTTTGATTTGCATTTCCCTGACAGCTAAGGATGTTGACAGATTTGTTATGTGTCTTTCATCCATTTTAGATTCTTCTATCGAGAATTGTCTATTTAGTGCTGTTCCCCATTTTTTAATTGGATTGTTTGGTGTTTTGGAGACTAGCTTCTTGAGTTCTTTGTATATTTTGGAGATCAGCCCTTGTCACATGTGGGGTTGGTGAATATCTTTTCCCAGTCTGTGGGCTGTCGTTTTGTCTTGCTGATTATGTCCTTTGCCTTACAGAAGCTTCTCAGTTTCAGGAGGACCCATTTATTAATTGTTGATCTCAGTGTCTGTGCTACTGGTGTCATGGTCAGGAAGCAGTCTCCTGTACCGATTAATTCAAGAGTATTTTCCACTTTATCCTCTAGTAGGTTCAGTGTGGCTGGGTTTATGTCTTTGGTCCATTTTGACTTAAGTTTTGTGCAGAGCAAAAGGCTTGGGTCTATCTGTAGTCTTCTACATGTTTGTATCCAGTTATGCCAGCACCATTTGTTGAAGATGTTCTCTTTGTTCCAGCATATAACTTTGGATTGTTTGTCAAAAATCAGGTGTTCATTGGTGTGTGGGTTAATTTCAGGGTTTTCAACTCTATTCCATTAGTCTACCTGTCTATTTTTGTGCCAATACCAAGCTGTTTTCAGGACTATAGCTCTGTAATAGAGCTTAAAGTTAGGGATGGTGATGCCTCCAGAAGTTCCTCTATTGTACAGGGTTGTTTTGACTATCCTGGCTCTTTTGTTTCTCCATATAAAGTTGAGAATTGTTTTTTCAAGGTCAGTGAAGAGTAGTGTTGGGATTTTGATGGGGATTGCATTGAATCTGAGGATTGCTTTTGGCAAGATTGCCATTTTTCTATATTGTCCTACCTATCCAAGAACATGGGAAATCCTTCAATTTTGGTATCTTCTTTAAATTCTTTCTTTAAAGACTCACAATTCTTATGATACAGGTATTTCACTTTTTTGGTTAGCGTTACCCTAAGGTATTTTATATTATTTGTGGAAATTGTAAAGGGTGATGTTTCTCTGATTTCTTTTGCTGTCACTTTTGTGTCACTTCTTTTGTGTCACTGCCCTTTTGCTGAAGGTGTTTATCAGCTATAGGACTTCCCTGGTAGAATTTTTCAGGTCACTGGGTCACTTACGTAGACTATCATATCATCTGCAAATAATGAGAGTTTGACTTCTTCCTTTCTGATTTGTATTCCCTTGATCTCCTTTTGTTGTCTTATTGCTCTAGCTAGAACTTCAAGGGCAATATTGAAGAAGTATGGAGAGAGTGGACAGCCTTGTCTTGTTCCTGATTTTAAAGGAAATGTATTGAGTTTCTCTCCGTTTAATTTGATGTTGGCTGTTGGCTTGCTGTATATTGCTTTTATTATGTTGGGGTATTTT